GTTTTTCTGAAGAGTGTATAATGTAAGGGAAAGTTTTGTTGTTCTCGTTATTGGAGCGATCAAAGTTTCAGTGTAATGTATATAGGTTAATGAGTTAATGTGAGCGCGAGAATGGCGCCATGATTTTGGCGCAATTTTGCCAAATATGTGTAAACTGTTTGGTCGTTGACTTTTACCAAGGTGGTGGCTCCTAAAGGAGCCGTTTTGGTGGGTGTATCAATCAACCCTCGAGGGCGCTGTTGAGGGTTGAAATCAGCTCACAGATCAAGTTATCTTGTTCCGCGATTCTTTTTTGAATCCTTGCAAAACGACTGTGTCGGATACGATAATCCGGAACAGTCGCCATGAAGTTGTTTTTCAATCGAACTTGAAGGGGCTTCACGTCCACTTGAAGGGGCTTCACTTCCTCTACCAAGCTGTTCGTTGGGAGGTCGGGATTCCTCTCAACCTCCAACAAGGCAACTTTTATCCACCGGTCTTGATCACTGTTCATAGTGCAGAGAACGAAGTAATTGAAAGCACTAGGTTATGTATTCTTACATTTATCAATATTCTTTTGATAAATTCACCAGGACCAATCGCAATATAGCAAGGGTTTAAAATAACCAATCTACAGAAAGTTCTAAAACTATTTCGCAATTTTTTTTTTCCCACCGAAAAAAAAAATTATACGGGGCATTAATTGAAACACACGTTACGCAATATTCTCAATTTTGTTTACCACCTTCAAAACTCGACTCAGTTAAGGGGTTTTTTTAAATTTTAACATAGATGTTTCACCTAAGTCACTTTTATTAAAAAACGCGTCTGTTTACTACAGATTTGGAAGTAGTAGTTATATCTTTCTATCCTAAATGACCGAATGTATGGTAGGTTTTTATTAGATGTAATCTATTTAGCTGGAGATACACATCGAGCACCAGAGCCTACGAAACGAGTGAACGTTAAGGTTATTCCTTTAACCCGCGTTGCTTGATTCTATTCCTTGGCTGTTAATAATTTCTTAGGAAAGGTAATATTAAATGTCTTAAGTGATTTTACAGAACTTACAAAACAAACGAACAAAATGTCTTTGCTGTTGGTATACACCACCGTACTGACCTTTTTGGTTTGTGTCGGTGGGAATGTATGCATCATACCCCAGTGCAACCGTAACCATGTAACCGAGATCATCGACTGTTCAACCCTTGGTTTACATTCAGTGCTGTACTCATCCGATACCAACAACTCTACACAGTTATTACTACCACACAACCACTTTCAGCATTTTAACATCTGTCTACTCATGGCGCATTTACCAATGGTTAAAGTAATTGATTTACTCGACAACGATCCACTGCTATGTGTAGATTTAGCTCGCCAGAGAGCACCACATGGATTGACTATTCTCTCTAACTGTCGAAATACAATCGGCCGCACACCCAGCAGCGAATCGAACAGAAACCGGACAACAACACAACCATCTGACCATCGAGTGACAACCACTGACAAATCATCCATCAAATCAACAGTAATCAACGATCCTACAAAAAAACACACTGCGTTAATAGCCCATAAAGGAAAATCTTCAACCACACTTGTATATATTTACTGCCTAATTTCTGCTATTTTGATTATACCGGTGGGAATAATTACAATCCGATGGATCATGCGGTGTTGGAAATCCAGACGACAGACCAGGAACTCGCCACCCATATCGCTTCAGTTATTCCCAATGAATGTTGACTCTGATTCCGACAATGATGAAGAGAACCTGATTATTGTGCGAGCAAGTACCTCAGTATGATGAGATTTGTAATATCGAATCGCCGATTGGATTCGAAAACATGTAGTTATGTTATTGTTTTGTTGGTATTATTAGCACGTACTTCAAAAAATTGTTAGACGCTACCTCATTTAACCAACAAGTAGCGAGATTTCGCTAAGGTTATTGTCGAACGTTCTTTCTAATAGAGAGAATAAATACAAAACTTTGTTCATGTTTGTTGCCGGTGTACAGAGAAGCGAAACCACTTAAATCCTGTGCGTTTTAAGTAATGATAAGCTTATGATAATTTTAGTTACGTTACACACAGAAACCATATTTGTTCTTTAACACAGTTTCAAAAGAAATAATAAACTGCTTTGTGTTCTCGCCTGGTTCCAGAGGTTCACGTTTATATTTCTTAATCAAATAATTGCAAGGCCGCGAAAAAATTAGCCGCGAAGCGAAAACAGTGTGTTTGTCGACAAATTATTATCCAATTAACTTCCACTGACAGTAAGTTCAAGCCTGATTAAACAAGCCATCATCAATACACAGACGATGAAATTATTTTCGATTCCAAAGACACAAAACAACGGCATTCCAAAACCTAATCATTTTAACCTCTAACTTAACTATCGCAAAAATATTTATCACGTAATTACCCACTAGTCGCCAGAAGCTGATAACTCGGCCCTGAGACACGTGAAGATTATTTTGACAATAAATGAGTTAACTATTGATAAGTAAAGCAAACAATTGTTTTACAAGGAAGAGTAAATGAGATCAATTATATTGAGTATGGTTAAATTTAAACACCGCTTTTGTTTATGTGTAAAGAAGGATTGAAGCAAAGTTTTACCGTTCTCAGAGTAAAGTTAGATATTTTGATTTACTTAGTAAAACCAAAGATATCCAGACAGTCATTATATCTCGATTTGTGTCTGGGGTGACTTTGTAGGTATGTTTACGCCCGGTCGGTCAGTAGAGCGGAACGTGACGTAACTAGACTCCGAGACTGGGCAAGAGTTGTTTCGAGTGTGAGTCGGAGACTGGACACAAGTTGTTTCGAGTGTAGCGACGTCTATATTTGCTAAATTTTGTATCGTCGTTTGATTTACATTCTGTTTGGAAGAACATTTATCAAGCTTTCAAACGCAAATTGATTGCAATTTTCAAGGTGAGATATTTTTAATTTCCAAATCGTTCTACTGTGACCGATGATCTGTTTAATAAATTTAGAAAAGATCTAATTCTTTGTTTATTTCATTTCCTGGTCATTCTGCTGTTATGTTTATTATAATATCAGATGTTTCCTTTCATCGATATTAAACTGTGCTGATCTGTGCTGAGTTTCAATCGAACTCCTATTCGAACAGTAGCTATTAACTAAAAGTTTGTTCATGTTTGTTCAAGTAATGGCACGTATGTAACTTGAAAATCCACTTGCAAGCGGCCCCACATGTACGCACCGCGGGGCGTTTATTTTAATATACCCATCAACGTTACAGATATAGTTCCGGTTTACGTTAAAAAGTGAATTTACAGGCAGCTAAAACATTTCACCGAGGTACAAATCTTAACAAGCATTGGTCTTACAATGTCCACAAGCGAGTGTTTCACACCCGCTTGGTAAAATATAGCGTTTGTCGTCATAGCGAGAGATATTCTTGTCTTGGTCAAAGTGATAGAAGAGATGCAATGTTTCTCACTTGAATTTGGCTCATCCGTGTAATCTGTGGTGTTATAAATTGCTTTACAGATTGAAGGGTATTTTTTCTCCTATCATTAATAGGTAAGCCACTTAGTAGGTAAATGTTTCGTCCTTTGATGGTTTTTGTTTGTTTTTTTTTTCCAACACCACTTGCTTTAGCCTCTTGAAGGTATTTTCTCCGCTGATTATGATCCAGCTAATGAACATCTGCGAGATGGTTACCTAGTCTTACAAGGTACTTTGCACCACATCCTGGAATCGGAATCATGCTGGTATTCTGAAATTTAGCAAACTGGAGCCAATATATTCTCTGTAAGTCAAACAGCTCGTGTACCTGAGCCAAATGGTTTGCTAATCGAACTAAAAAGTTTGACCCACAGCCGGGAACAGGACAATGCTTGCATTATAGTTTTTTTTCATATTAACGGTACGAAAGCAGACTTTAAACTGAACAAATCTATTTGCGACACGAATTTATCGTTTATTTTCGAGGGCACAACGGGCACCAAGGGCATAAAGGGCACCTTTTTAGCCCTGTGTTTTTTCTCCTGGGCGCGCGTGGAGATCTCGCGTGTAAGTCGTGCGCATCGAGTCACGAAACAGGCCACGATTAAATTCGACCAAAGATTTATTTACAAACTAATTTCCTATGTACAAACATTCGTAAAAAGCTAGACAAAAATACTATTTACAACTAGAAGTGATCTTATGTAAATATTTCGAAAAACTATTTTTGAGAGTAATATATGGACAAACTTGAGAAAACGAAAACTATTTACAAAATCAATTTTTACCAACTTGAAAACTTAAATGTTGAGTGGGGTTTTGCTAACTCCATCTGCGAGAACTTTACGTTTGGGATAAAAATACGAGAACGCATGACCCACTGCCGGGAACAGGACAATGCTTGCATTTTAGTTTTTTCATGTTAACGGTACGAAAGCAGACTTTAAACTGAACAAATCTATTTGCGACACGAATTTGTCGGTTTTTTTTGGAGGGCACAACGGGCACCAAGGGCATAAAGAGCAGAAATTGAGTGTTCTTTTTTTCTCAGGCACACGCGAGAAGGTCGCGTGGGGAAATTGTGCGTGGGAACGCACTGGCGCCTTAAGTCAGAGAATTACAAGAAACGCGTTTTTTTATAGCGTTTTATTTATGAATCACACACGTTACAATTTTTGATACTCATTTTGTTTTTTAATACAGCAATCAAGTTGCAACACAATTTTATATATCTAGAGGCATAGTGGTAACTCCATCCTCCAACACTTTTCTTTTTGGGTAAAAGTAGGAAAACCCATCTCGAACTTGTTCATAAGTATACATGCTATTGTTGACTACCCGAAAACCTTTATTTAATCCTGCACTACCTTGTTTGGTCAACAGAACATTAAGATATTTTTCTTTGTTAATGTCGTTTGTTTTCTTGTTAACCCCTTTACAACTGAACTTATCATAGGCCCCAAAGCAATAGTAGGTCTTGCTACTTAGACCAATTATTCCTGCCCCTGACCACTCTTCCTTAAATAAACCTGGTGTTCTTTTGTCATAAGCTTTGTGTTCTGGAGTGTCGGTTCGTGGAAACCAATTGGCCTTGTCTGCTTCAAATTCCTCTCTTAACTCAGGTTTGACTAAACTTTCTACCGATTGCCCTGCGATCGCGATATAGGCAGAGTCTGTATCCATTTCACAATACTGAAAATCACTACGATCAAGATATTTATCCATGAAATCAAAATAAAAGTGTTCTCTTCGATCTGGTCAATCTGTCTGAAGAAGGGTGTGTTGATAAGCCGTGAGGCCTTTGTTTCTTCGCAGAACTTAACCTCTCTGTTTCGTTCTTGGTCCGTGATCGTCTTCCCGTAACTAGAATTCCCGACCTAATTAATAATGGATCAGAACATTAATAAGGTTTGCATAAGGAAAAAAGTGGCAAAATGCTTGTACAAATGAAATCATACTTACTAATTTCATTGTATCTGCGATAATAGCCTTGTTCGGGTCCACATCCCCAGCGCGCCTGGCGTCGGAGACAGCTTCTCCAAAGGGCTGGAAACAAGGAACGGGTGTGTACTCTACCACTTGGTAAATCCTGGTGACTTCTAATCCGTGCTCCAAGTACCATTTAATGAGCGGTGTGGCCAAGAAGATCTTTTCTCCAAAATAGCTACCTATTAGACTTCTACGAGGTTGAGGCATGATATGTTGCTCCTCGGCAAATGTTTGCATGTATTCACCAATATCTTCTTTAGAAATCTGCGTATTTTTGAAGATTGGACACATTTCGGAGAACTTGGGTTTCCGATGGTCAGGTACTGTGATGTCACACTCGACAACACCAAAGAGAGACTCGTCTCTGATAGCCTTTATGATCTGATTTTGGTCCAGGGTCTGGTGGTGGTCAAGGGGTCGGTGAAACTTTCTGTTCGTGAAATATTGTACTGCAGAGTTAGTTTTTTTTTTCATTCGGCGCCACTGGCACTCCCACATCTCCACGAGATTGTAGCCTTGATCTCTGATATACTTTGAATTTGCTGTAGTTTCATCCCTGAGCTCAGCCATTGGTTTCTTTCTTTTTTCGTTCATTTCTTTTCCTTTAGTTAGGTAGCAGTTATGCCCATGCCACCAGCAGCCATGGAACTGAAAGACTGTTTGCGAAGGACCGTGAAAACCATCCACTGGGAGCCTTCTTTCACCTATGCGTTTTTCTGTATTGTTCATTTGGTGGCGTATAAAAATTCCTCCTTCATGTGCCTTCCACTCTAACCACTCGGGGCCATATTGGTGGAGCTTTCTTTTTTGAAGTTGGTTTCTTCGCGTCGTCTCGTAAAAGATCCGGTGGGCATGTTTTGCATGATGGCCCAGAGATAGAGCGCGTTGGCGTCATATCCTACTACTTTCTGGCACATTTTTGGTTCTTTGCCTTGATCTGTTATCTCTCTCTCTCTCTCTGATCTTGGTCTTGTCTTTTTCATGATTTCGGAGGAAGATGATACTGGGCCCTCCTACCATATTTTTCTTGAACAAGGTGTATAAATCTTTATTTTTTTGGTCAAACAGAGAGAAGAAGATGCCAGATTCCAGGGTGGTAAAGAGGTACGTCAAGGTAACACCGGGAATAGAAATACCTTGTCTTAACATGTCGATCTTTTTATCTTTCCAGAACCCGCACATTTTTTCCAGGGCCTCACAAAAGGGTTGGACATCTAGGTTGTTGTACCAGATGAGAAAATCTTTAAGTGTCTGCATGTTGTTGTCAGACCACACTTGTTGGCAGTACTGGTAGTCTTCTTCAGAAATGTTTTCTTTTTTCAGTGTAGAGAAGAAGGCTTCCCGAGGAGGAAGAGAAGGGTGGTCTAACTTGTCAAGAGAATCCAGCCATTCGTATGGGAAGAACCCCTTGGTTTGAGGACACTCGTAGCCCTTCAGAAATTTGTCGTAGCTGAAACCGGGAGCAAGAATATTGGTGACGTCGAGGAAGCGAAGATGCGGGGTCTTTAGGCACATGAATTTGTGGTTACGCTTGATAGTAAACTGAACGCCTTCATTCTGGACCAGGAGAGGAAACAGAAATTCTTTGACGGCATTCAAGTCATATTTACCAGAATTGAAGCCCAGGACAGGAAGTTCTTGCAAATATTCTTGGAAACGATCTCTCAGTTTCTTTAAAGGGTGTACTTTTTTGTCCTTAGGTTCTGGGCTGTTGTCCTCTGGTCTGTGATATTCACACTCGTGATCATTTTCACTCTGATCCTCGTGTTCGCGATTTAAGGCCCTGTAAAACGAGGCACCTTGTTCTTCTACGTCATCGTCCATAGAGACACGATCTTCTTCCGTTTCAGACTCGATTTCTTCTTCTTCGTCATCTGTGTCCATGAGATCTTTTCCTTCATCATCGCTATCTTCCTGGGTGAGTTTTTCTACTGTGTTAGTTTTTGAAGGGTCACCAGCTTCTGATTTTTGCTGTAGGTCTTGCAGCTTTTGGTCGATGGCTTCAAAAAGAAAGTTAAACTCTTTTCTTATCAGGTCATAACTCTTTTCACTTATTTTTACGAGGTGTTCTAACATCTCTTTGACGAGCTGTTTAGAGTCCCCATCTGACACAAAGCACTTGGGTTGGTCGTAGTCTGGAACGTTGGAGCAGACACTGACACTTAGAGCGATATGCTTGGCGTTCCAGGTGAGTTTTTCTGTATCACTGAGACTGGTGTGCGAGCTGAACATGCATTTGAAGTCAAAGGTGGCTCTGTATGGAAAGAACTTTAAATGTTTTGGAATGGTGAAGCCTTCATCTTCGAGCAGCTGAAAGATGGTGGGTGGCGTCTTGTATGCACCGCCAGGAAACATGTAATGGACTTTGGCCTCGCAGGTTCGCTCATGACGATTTAACTTGAATCCATCTTTCCAATATTTTCCACATCGAGAGCAGCAGTAGGACTTGGCGTATTTCGTCAAATCTTTGATATAAGAAAAGTGGCGCTGGTAAAGGTTAAGGTAAGGGTACTTGGATAGTGGCAAAGAGATCGATGGATCAGCTCATCGTCTTCATTTTCTTCTCCATCGGGTTTAGTGGGTTCGAGGGAATAGACAAAGATATTGACTTTAAAAAGGTGTTCTAGGTCGGGCAGTTCTTTCAGTTTTACACCACAGAACTTCTTCTTGTCGAATAGCGTTTCTCGATATTTCTCATAGTAATGCTTGGCATCCCGCTCTAGATTCTTTGGGTGGCAGCCGTTATGGAGAGCCAAGGCAGGGAAGAAGCAAAGATTGTCGTTGTAGACTTTTCCGGTCTGGCGGTTGCTATCCAAGGCATCAATACCGCGATTTTCCACGAGGTAGTGAGGCAGACTTTGACCTCTCCCTATCGGATGGCCTCTTAGCTTGGTGACGAAGAAAGTGATATTGGTCACCTGTTCTACGACCCATTTGGAGTTGGGGCGTCGCTGGCGTACCCAGTCTAAGACGTCAAGGTTTAGCAATGCTTCAAGAAATTGCTGAAGATCGGCTGCGGTGGTGATTTGGAATGGCTCTTCAAATACTTGATCGTTGTTCCTAGAAGCGTAGTAATATTTCAGTGCACCGGTCTCGTTGTTGCGTAGAATGAAACCAAAAGACACATTAAGTTTAAGCACGGTGGACTGGTCGGTAAAGATCTCGTCAAGGTGCTGTATAACCTCTTGAGGTTGCGGGAAAGACAGACGATAGTTATACCAGTCCAGGAACAGGTTTTGGCGGTTGAATCGAGTGCGGATTTGATGCCAGTGGCGACGGTACTCGAGAACAGAGCTTTGTTGGACTTCAGGTAAGTCAGTCAAGGTTCTTGGATCTTCCTGCCAGCTGGAACTTGAAGTTGCTTTTTTCTCGATAGGATTGGGCTTCATTTTCTTGGGTTTTGGCTCTAAATGGGAAATAAAAATTCCAATGTCTATTCCCAAATCCAAACGAGGTATCCAGAAACACAAAAGAGTTGTTTATACAATGTATTGTTTAACATACTCAAATTAGCATACGACTAATCCAATTTTTCCACTTCATTGCTTTTACCTAACATTTATGTAGGATTAACTCTCTGAACAAAAGTTTTGTTCCATCATGTCTAAAATATGTTGTGCTAAGCCTCTGTACAAAGGCAAACCAAAGACTTGTTCGAACATGCTCTAGCCTCTATTGTTTTAACATCCCACGGCTAAAATTTGCATACGACTAATCCAATTGTTCCACTCCACTGCCTTCACCTCAAATTTGCATACGGTGCAGCTTTCAAACAAAAGACATGTTCAAACATGCCATAGCCTCTATTGTGTTGCAAGAAGCAAGTAAAAAGTTACCTACGACTAATCCTTGACACAAAATATAATTTTATCTTACTGAAATACAACAGAAAAGTTCACTGCTTCCTACCTGTTTTCTCGTCCCTTGGACGTTTCTTATTTAAAGAGGGTTTGGTATGAGCCGTCTTTTGATGTGCTTGAAATGGCGCCATATTGTGGAATACGTCTCCGCAGGTAGTACATTTGTATTCCCGTTGAGCTGCTCGGCGCTCGTGAACTTGTTTTTCGTGCCGTAATAAATCCGATTTTCGTCTGAATTTCGTGTCACACTTAGGACAATCGTGCTGTTTCTCGTTGATGTGTATCTGTTGATGTTGTTTTAAATTATCTGCTCGAGTGAATACTTTTTTGCAAGTGGGACATTCATGTCGCGTCTTTTTAGCGGGAGGAGATATGTCTACATCATCCTATAAAATAAACGTAAATCGTATAAATGCCTGACAAACTATGTGTTTAAATAAGAAAAGTGAGTAAAGTAATTACGAAAACACCTACCTGCGCGGATCGTTTTCTCACAGCTCCACCCTGTACTTGGTTCGGAGAAGGCTGAGAAGATAGATGTGATGAGACTCAAAGTACTTAAACTACGTTTTTACGTGTCAACAAGGACAAACTTTACCGAACACTTACCGTTTTCTCCCAATCATTCCATGGCTGTAACACTTCAGCAGGAATATTGGAATCTTGCAAAGGTGTATTGGAAGGTTGGACCTAGAATGAAACTATATGTTACTAAAAAAATGTAGCCTTGAATGACATTCAAACATTAATAACGTATCTCTTCTGGAAATGTTAAGGTCATCATTCGATCCACCGCTTCAGAAATCTGATCGCATGGTATCTCGTTGTGCCAGATGAATTTTTCAAACTCTTCCAAAGTGGTGAACTGGTTGAAAGCCATGACTACTCACACTCAACTTACTCACAATGTGTGAACGATGCGCTTGGCAGTGAGCAGGCTTTTATGCCGTTCAAACAATAAAAAATACGGCAACCAACCAGAATGCTTCGTCAAACGAGACAGCCAATGAGCGTCTTTCTAATTCTGTTCAACCAATCAAAACTACTATGACATCATAGTACCCCGGAATACATATGACATCATCTTCCGAAAATAACTAAAACCTGTCAAACCGGTTATACCAACCATGACCGCCACAAGATAAAAATAGAACATGACATCATTGATAAACCCGTCAAACTGGATATACTTAACGAGATTCCACCGCAAGTTAATGAGATACCACAGCATTTTATTCATGAGGTCAAGACAAAAGGTTATGACGTCATTGGCGTTAATTTATTCCTGCCCAAGTTAATGAAATTCCTACCCAAAAAAAAGGTTCATTTCGTCCCTCCTATACTACTAGCACCTTTTTTTCTTCCCTTTATGAAACGTTTTCAAAACTGGAGTTGTGGCTTTTCGATATGAGAGCTGTCCCAGGTCTTAAAAATCTGGTTTGGCATACACACAAGAAACTTAGGATTGAGACAGGTAGATACGACAATATACCACGTGATGAAAGGTTATGCAGTCTCTGCAATTGTAACAGAACTGAAGATGAAACTGCACTTTTTATTAGATTGTCCATAGTCCACTGACTATTCTATTGAAATCCAATTAATTTCATTTATATCATCTTGCTTTGAATTGAGAGAAAAACTTGTCTCCAGAATAATTAATAATCCTACTGATGGTTGAAAATGAGCAATGATTAATGTGTTTAAAATTATTTTAAATATTTAATTTAAAAAGGAAATAATAATTAAATTCAAGTAGCTTTTGCAATACTTTAATACTTTGTTACAGTCATGCAAATAGTTAGCAATTATTGGACGAGGTTGAGTAAAATATCGTGATTTGTTAGTGGCGAGCAGATCAATAATTCGGCTTCGGCAAATAATTGATCTGCTCGCCACTGACAAATCACGATATTTTGCGATAACTGAGTTCAATAACTGTTTTATCATTCAATCACTGAGTTTGTTTTTTTAATAAATAATATCTTCGGAAAGCGGTTAGCGCGCGCTGCCTTCTAGGAATCACAATGACAGAGATCACATAAACGAGCAAGGAACAAGCGTGGTTTCATTTACGCATGAGCAGAATAGTATTTGCAGCCAAAAACACTTGAACGACATTACGCATGAGAACACCATTATTTGTGGGCAGTTATTTGCAGGTCACGTGGTGGGCTCTCGGCCAATGAAAAGGAAGAAACATTTGTATCGAATGATAAAGCCTATTGTTGTTGTTGTCGTTGTATTATATGTCAGAATAGGGGAGATCATCGTGTCAAATACTTTACAAGCAATAGATGCTTTTAGTTTGCTGAGATTCGTATGTCGTCTCAAATAAGCTAAATGGGGCGTGAAGAGCTTGTTCTTTGAGATGTTCGCATGACACTGAGAAAATTCCTGATGAGGAGATTCGAGTTCCTAAATAGGTGTATTCCTGTACAACATCAATAATTGGACCATCTATGATTAAGCGAAGTTCAGCATTTTTCCTGGCACGTTTCTAAAAGACCATAATCTTAATTTTCTTGAGATTTATTTTCATCATCCACGAAGTACAGTAGGAAGAGAACTTATTAAGGCAAGACTATCATGTAAATAAGTTAGTTATGAAGTTTATTTCCTCCTATATGAAAATGCGTGATTCATTGTAATTGTCAAACGAAAGTGATGCAGCTTAATTATTAGTTCATTATTAGTGTTGTTTGTTTTATTTTGATTGTAATAGGCATGCTTTTGCAATACTGTACAATGATGCGGTCATGCAAATAAAGCAATTTCTTACTATTACTACTACTAATAACTACAACTACTATAGCTTTGACAATGTATTGAATAATAACGGAAAAAAAACTATTCGAAATTTGTAAAATCCTTGATCTGAGAATATCTAATGGAAGAGCTCACGGAGATTCCATAGGCAGACCCACCTTTTATGGGAAAAACGGGACAAGCGTTATTGACTACGCAATATGCGATCAGAGCACATTTTGAGATGTTGACAATTTTGTTGTTAAACAGCCTTCCTACTTGTCCGACCACAGTGTTATCGTAACGTGGTTGAATGTTAACGCCAGCTTACCACCCCCGGCCAGCAAGCCATACCCAAACATCTTATGCTTCCAATCGGGAGAAATTAGTAAGTCTGTCACACCAGTTTTGCTGGGAAAATGACTCGTACTTAACACCCTACGTACAGAACCAATTTAAAATCATCATAACGCTACCTCAAGATTAAAACTAAAAGATCTCGTAAAACGTATTAAGATAACATCTAACTAAAAATGGTTCGAGTGTGAATGCCGACTGAAAAGACACTCAAACTCTCAAATCAAAACATCGTGATCCCCTTAACTCTGAGATTCGGGAAAAATTTCACAAAATTTTGAATGATTACAAAAAGCTCCTTGACTTAAAAAGAAAAGAATTTCAGCAACTTGAGCAACTTGGTGAATTGATATTAAATCCCGACAAAGCGTGGTTTTGGAGTTCCCTAAAATCGATGAGCGATACTATCGACGATAATGCCTGCCCCAGAGGAAGGGGGGAAGGTAACTCTACTGTTTTCCACCTAAGTTTCTTGACCCACTCCGCCTGCCAGTATGACGTCACATAGTAACAGGCGAGAGCCTCGGGTCGCTTGTGCAA